ACTGCGGCTGAGTTGCAGAAGAGGGGGGACAATTTCTTCAAAGAGATTGAAGTTGTCATATCTGATGTGGTACGCCTGCCTAGCTGTGCTTATCTCATATCATCCCAACTTGCTTCAAGCTTCAGTATGCCTTCGTTTTGGTACTAGTTTTCAACCGATAGCGCATTAGATTGTTAAGTCAGGACAAATCTGCACTTTCATCTTTGCAGCAACTGTATAAGGTTTGGAACTGAAATGTGAAAACTGGCAAAATCTTACAAGTTGATACATACTACTCATCCAATTTTTCACTTTACATCCTAGAGTCCCTGCCTGCCTGTATCTTTTTAAACTTTGGACATTAATATGTTTAAAAAATCTATACTAGTAACACAAAATTACAAGTACTGTAAAAGAAAATTAACCAAGGGAGGTACATTTTTTTTATACAAAAAAAATTCTGAATAGTAGCTAGTTTATGTGGTTGGTTAAACTAGCTTTACCAGTGGGTTCTTTATCAGTATCTACATTTCAGTAGTGTTCTTTGTCAAAAGGATGTTGGCTATCGCTGGGGACTATAACAGTAGTGGCAAAATTTGGAAATAGGGTCAATTTCATATAATGAGGATGAGACTCACTATTTTGTTAAATAATCAAGTCTGGAAACAAAACAATCACAAATATCCCAAATATGTCAGAGCCCTGGCTTTTCCATGGAACCATCCTGTTCATTTCTCATTCTTTCATTGTTACTGATGAAACATGCCAATCTTTGCAATCTCAGGCTAACGGAAGACCTTAAGATCTACTCTCTATCAAACAGAACATATTTTCTGTGGTTTCACTTCACTAATTATAAATACCTCACTATCTGATATCACATGATTGTACCTTTCTACACTGAACATTTAAACTCTTCTGATATGGAATCTAATTCAGTTGTTGCTTCTGATACTACCTAGGTCATGGCGATTGTTGCGGATGTCATGCTTGTCTATCTTCCTGCTCCAACTATTGGTTTAAAGCCTCCACTTGCAAGAAATGCCTCAGCTATTGCCAAATTTTTCTCTAGCTGCCCGGATAATGCTTTCCAAGTAAAGCAACCGTTTCCCTTTTCCTAGAGTTGAATGGACCTCCTATTTCTTTCCCTTGTATTCGAAAACATGTTATGCGACTTTTTTGCAGATTGCTCTGGCTGGAAGATCATTCACACTTGTGCAGAGGCTTGGAGCTTTTGTGGTACTGTAGATTCATTGCATTCGATTGTTAACTATTTTATGATAATCATAGTTATCTGGATTTATTTGCAAGACATGTTGATCAACTAATAGCGGCTGTTTCTTTCCAGAGGAATGCTGCAAAGCTTTTGGCAGTGGGAACTACTGCTTCTTTTGTAAGTTTGTTTATCTCATAGCTATTCTGTGATGATCTTCATTAGCAGTCTCTTTTGATCTTTTGCTAGAAAATTGTCATTCTCTTTTCTGAGCGATATACAGTTGAACATGATCCTGTTACGAAGAAACACTTCTTCAAAACGGGAATTATCCGCTAGCAATATGTTATTGTTATGCATGCAAAATTTATTTATGTATTAGTTAGTTTCATCTCCCTGAATTAGTTCTCTAAGCTTGCAATGCCTATGAATTTGTCATCTTCCCAGATTGGCACTAGTGTCACCAATACAGTGCTCAAAGCAAAGGCGGCTGTTAATAAGGACCTTGAGGATGAAGTTGTGGAAATTCCAGTTGTCCAAACTAGTGTTGCCTATGGTGTATACATGTCAATTTCTAGTAACCTCAGGTAAACAGAGTTTCTACATATTTTAGCATACAAGACATACTTAAGCTTTTGAATTTATGACTGATCATCTTGTTTTGCTATGAATAGCCAGAGAGAGTAAGCGTGTCAGTTGAATTGGCAAACTTGATTCCCCCCCCCCCGCTTGAAACAGATCGCAGCTGTGAAACATGTAGCAAATAGATACAGACGATGTTGATGTTAACAATTTGGTTTGCCATTCACAGTTTCATTCGTATGACAAAATTTATATACTTCATCAGGTATCAGCTTCTGGCTGGTGTGATCGAACAGAGGATCCTGGAGCCGCTGCTGCATAACCAGAAGCTACTACTGAGTGCAATGAGCTTCATCGTTCGTACGGGCAACACATTCCTTGGCTCTTTGCTGTGAGTAACATTCACCTCACCGGAAATTGAAATCTTGCATCCTGCTGTTGCTGTATTTGCTTACTGGTGAACTTTGTGAACAGCTGGATTGACTATGCCAGATGGATAGGCGTCCAAAAGGCTCACGATCACGAAGAGGCCTAAAAGTTCTAGCAGCTTGTCTGCATGTTCTTCTGTCACTGGGCATGTTCACAATACCATCGATGGCTTGCCTGCCTCTAGAATGCCGCTCTACTCTTCATTGGATCGGAGGCCCCCTATATATAGGACAAATCCCAATTTTGTTCGGAAAACCACAAGTAGGGATATATCCGTCGAATTCTCGTATGCAACGACAACGTCGCTTTACCCCTCAACTTTTCTTTTCTAGCTTGCAACTTGCAACAAGGGCTGTCATTGTTCAAAATTCAAATATATGTTACATTGGGAATTTCATGCGACTTCCTAAACTCTAGGAAGTATCGCTTGTCCTGTTTCATATGTACGTATGCATTGTAGCCTTGTTGTATTTCCTCAATGCCTTGGTTGTTTTGTCGGTTAGAGTTCTTGACAACTGTTAAAGAGATTCTGTCGGAGTATATTCAGGATCGCCTTATTACCAGACAAACGGAGATGCTGCCCGGACAACATGTAAACTGTTAGATTCGTTCACTGGCACCGCAACATGAAATTAGAAAATTGTGATCCGACTTTGCCATCTTATTATTTTCTTCACGGAACAGCTACTCTAGTGCAACATGCAAATAACAGCTATCGCTAGAATTCAATATTCCATTCCTATTAACATTGAATTATTGTCTTGTTTATGAACCCTATGCATCTGATAGCATCATTGCTGTTTGTAGGTCTATGCAGCACGGAGTATCGGAAGGATACGGATACACGGATATGCCAATTTTCCAGAAAACACGATATGTGTAAACGTTTTACTATTTTTAATTTTTTTTATAAATAAATAATAATGCAAATTAAAACTCTAAAAGTCTAAAACTTGAGTAATCACTAATCGTTAGTTCAGTACTATACATGCAATCATACATGATATAAACATCACCAGATCACTAATTATTTGTTGAATCGTCCTCTCCCCTGCATCGCGGGAGCTGGCTGCGGCCACGGCGAACTGGTGGCTGCTCCCGGTGCAGCAGTTTCGAGGAGGGGGGAAGTCGAATGATGGCATATCAGTGACGTATCGGATACTCGGAGGATACATATGGGAGCCATATCAGTGACGTATCAATACGGCCCGTCATTGACGTATCCGTGCTACGTAGTTGTAGCTAGGGTGGTCCATTATTAAAAATGTAACATGTGGATACATTGTATAAGTTGCGTAATGCAATGCGATTAGACTATAGATACCTAAGAGCAACTCTAGCATTAGCCCTCAAAACAAGACCCATATTTTTCATTTGAGGCCCCTCCTACTTTTGAGGGCTCCGTTTTTCGGGTTGCACTCCAACCAGAGCCCTATTCTCAATTCCCTTATTTCCTCACGCATTTTATGCATATATATTTGAGAACGTAACATTATATAATAATTTATTTAAATTATAACAATAAAGCACAACACTTAAAATTATAACGAATATTCAAATTAAAATTCAAATACAAATTTGGTCTGAATTTAATGATAGTCGATCATGACATAGAAGTTGACGTGGGCATACTCTTCATTTCAACCTTTTCATTGAATCCCCTATCCTATTATCCAGCAACGCCCAAGCTGTCGATGATCACCTAGTACTCGATCTTCCACTGACTTTTATATATGTACCGAATGCTCATACGGGAAAGGGAACTGCTGGGTGTGGAACCAGGGGGGTTGCTCCGAATGCTGAGCTTCTTCAACTCTTGATTCCTCAAGACTCAAGAGAGACCTCAGAGAGAAGATGCACAAATTTCCAGCATTTGTTGGTCCGAGGCTCCACCTCAGATGGGAGTAGTTCAAAATAGTATGAGGTATAGCAATAAGTTTGATCATCTAAACCAAATGGTGAATTCTGCATATCTACTATAAGCTCGCAAATAGCATGACGGCGATTTTCTTGATTGAATGATTCAGCGTATATATGGATGCACAGTATGATACTCGGGTATAGAAAATCTAGAATAGCTACAGTTTTCAATGAGAAACAGCCCTATTTTCTTCCCCCAAATGTACAAAACAAATTCAGCTAACCCCCTAATAGGCTTTACAGTTGAGAAAATCAATAATAGTGCAAAGACTTTCAATGCAACTCAACTGTTTACCTTCTCTATATCAGAAGTTTCAAGCTTCAACATGTTCATCGCACTAACTGCAACAGGTTCCTCATGTTTCTCGGGGTACTGTTGTATTGCAGACTGTGCTGGCCCAGCGTATGTCTGGCCCATCAACAGGACTCTGCCAACTTGCCAAGCCTCGCGCGAAGGCCGAGCAGCAGACAAGCATGGACCAATGGATTTCTGAGCTTCTTGACTCATATATAGGCCTTTGGTTGGGCTGAGCGCAGGGTGGTCCACGGCCCACAGGGTGGAGGCTGGAAGCCCAACTGGGCCCTACACCTTACAAAAAGCCCAGAGCCTGTTATTTTGCACGGACCGTGCAGCCAATAGAGCCCAGTAAGCAGCACCCTAATTAATAGCCCTTGCGGTTGCAGCCCTCGATCCAGACGCCCACTTCTCTTCCTTCGCAGTTTCCAGCCATCGCCGCGATGCAGCCGTCGCCACCATCGCCGTTCGCCGGCAGGATGTTGCTCACACCCGAGCAGCAGGCCTCCGGCGCCGCAGCGTGCACGTCCATCTGCTCCACCTGCGGCGTCGTGGCGCCGAACACGGCCAACACGTGCGCGCATGACCATCGCGGAGAGCGTGCCGCGCCACAACGACGTGGTGCACTGCCCAGCGTGCTCCTCGTACCTGAGGCCGCCGCGGTCGTGGATCCACGCCGCGCCGGACTCGGCAGAGCTCATGCAGATCCTCATCCGCCGCGTCGACCGCCACACCGCCCGCCACGGGGTCGCGATCGCCGCCGCGGAGTTCGTCGCCGTCCCCACCGAGCCGCCGCACTCCAACTCCAAACGCCTCGCGCTCCGCGTCCGCCTCCGCCGCGAGACCACCCACGGCATGATGGTGGAGGAGGACCACGTCGCGGAGTTCGCCGTCCACGACCGCCTCTGCGATGCCTGCGGCATGGCCCGGGCCCGGGCCGCCGGCCCCGACCAGCAGTGGTCAGCCGTCGTGCAGGTGCGGCAGCGCGCGTCGCACCGCCGCACGCTCATCCACCTCGACCAGCAGATCGTCAGGCACGGCGCTGCGGACTCGGCCGTCCGCGTGGACGGCAGCTCGGGCGGGCTCGACTTCTACTTCGCGTCGCGCTCCCACGCCGCGCGCCTCGTCGAGTTCGTCTCGTCCGTCGCGCCCGCCCGCGTCATCGGCGTCGCGAGGCAGCTCGTCTCGCATAACAATTTCAGGGACGCCTTCTCCGTGGAGCTCTGCGCGATCTGCCGCGACGACCTCATCTTCCTGCCCAGGGAGGCGTCCCGCACGCTCGACGGCCTGGGTCCGCTCGTGCTCTGCGTCAAGGTCAGCAAGTCGGTCTCGCTGCTCGACACCAACAGCATGCGCCTCGTCGCCATGAGCATCGCGGAGTACGACCGGTACAGGTTCGAGCCCCTGCTGAGCAGCCGCCGGCTCGTGGAGTACGTCGTGCTCGACGTGGAGCTGGAGCTGCGCCATCACGACGTCTTCGTCCCGGTGCTCGGCGGGCTCGGCTCGACGTACCCTATTGCATGGGTGCAGATCGCCCGCGCGTCGGACTTGGGCAAGAACAACACCGTCTTCACCGTGAAGACGCATATCGGCTGGCGGCTGAACCCTGGGGACCATGTGCTAGGGTACGACCTCTGCAACGTCAACTCTTGTAACAACCAGGACCTGGAGAGCTATGGGCAGCGCCACGAGTTACCTGACGCAGTGCTCGTCAAGAAGAGGTACAAGTGGAGCGCGGGTAAGATGATGCAGGAGCAGGACGGCAGCAGCAGCGGCAGCGAGCGAGGCTGCGCTGGGATTGAAGAACTTGCCATGGGTATTGGATGCATCGAGCTGAATCCGTCCGACGACAAGATGAGCTGCTCGAGGACCTCTCCATTTGATCGGCTGCGAGTTGCATTGCATAGAAATAATATGGAAATAATGGAAGTATGCGTGCTCTGATTGTACGTGTTATCTGATCTGCATGTGTCGTTTGAATGCTTCATCCAAATTGACGGGGATTCGCTTATTCACTTAGCATCTCTTTCTCAGATAATTAAATTGGAGATCTTCATTGACTCTCTGATTGTACACATTATCTTGCATGTTTCGACTCATCTTTTTTTAGATTGAAAGCATGCAAATTTAGTGATCAGTTCCCACTTCCCAGTCAACTGATCCACCTTGACCTGACCTCTGATCCCTCACACAAGGAGACAGGATTATTATTATTTTTCGAACAAAAACCACGGTCCTCCCATGTCACCACACACGAGGCAGTATATACTCTCTCTTAGGACTTAGGCGTGTAATCGGACTGGATAGGACTTACGAGTGTAATCAGACTGGATACATACGGAAAAATAAGCCAAAATACTGTTCCGGCTGATTGTTGCGAGAGAAAAATACTGTTATGTCTGAAAACACTGTTCACGCGAGTGCACTGGCCAGCCAGCTGAACGCAGCCGTTGCTGGTATCTTATAATGTTCTCGAGGACGTCCGACGCTCAGGCCTATTTCCCTCATTCACGATTTCTAAAAGAGAGAGAGAAGAAAGCAACATTTCCCATCCCACGCCCATTGCTCGTCTTCTCCGGCGCTGGGCCGCTTGCTACGGGCAGCGCACCCGCCCACCGCAACCTTCACCAGTGCGGCGGCGCCGCACCCGGCCCCATCTCATGCTGCTTCGTGCCCTGCTTCGTGCCACCATCCACTTTGCTCGTCGTGGAACGAAGGGGAGGCAGGGGAGGCCCGCGCCTAGGTGTACGCTGGGCCATTGCTCTCGATGCCCTCCTGACCTGAGTTTGCTGGCTATACCACAGTTTCCCACCAGGTAAGTCGTGGTTGTCGGCGACGCCGTGTCTCAGATGTTTTAGACGTTTCAGACTTATGTTTTAAGTGTTTCATCTGGATGTTGCATAAGTTGCAATGACAATATACACATGTTGCAAGCCTATGAGTGTTTCAGGTGTTTCAGACATATGTTTCAAGTGTTTTATCTGGATGTTGGATATGTTGCTATGGCTATACACACATATTTCAAACGTATGTTTTAAGTGTTTCAGATGTTTCACACTTATTATGTTGTAAGTGTTTTATCTGGATGTTGCAAAAGTTGATCTGGATATTTCATATGCTGCTATAGCTATACACGCATGTTAAGTGTTTCATCTGTTTTAGACGTTTGTTACAAATATTTCATCTGGATGTTTCAAAAGTAGATCTGGTGTTGCACATGCTGCAATGGCGTCGGTGGCTGCTGGACATCGGCCTGCCGCAGCCGCTTGCTGCTACTGCTCGAGCGCTACCGAGGGTCACCGTGCGGGCGCTGAGGCCAGCAGACGCCTTCGCAATGCGCATTCGTAGGTGGGGCAAGTGATGGAGACCACATGAGTTTCCTCTACGAGCGTAGGATGGGTGTGGGTCTTGCGTACGGACGTGGGCACTGGCACTGGATGGGATGCGGACGTGGATGCAGGGCATGGGATGGGATCCTGGCGCGGGCGCGGGAGCTACTAAAAAGAGAAAGCAAAAGGAAAAAGGTAGACAGAATGAATGGAAAAACGGAGGGACAACAGGAAAAAAACGTGTGTTAGATAAAAAAGAACTAACGAACTGAAAAGAGAACAACGGACGCGGACGTAAGAGAAAATAAACGGACTTGCTAGCGTCCGCACGTCTGATCCGGACCCTAGCGTCCGGACGGTGTTTGCACAGGGAGCGAGCAAGCGCCTAGTGCGTCTCTAGCAGTGGGCTCGTGCCGCTCGGGGCGTCGCTCGTGCCGCCCCGAATATCACCCAAGCCGCCAGCCGCTTCTCAAGCAAATTTCATGTGTAATACCCGATCTACTTTTGAAACATCCAGATGTAACAATTATAACATATATACAAAAGAAGACAGATGAACCACTTGAAACAACGTCTGAAACACTTGCGAAAACGTCTGGAAAAATATTTGAAAACCATTACAAACATATGCAACATTTATATGAAACACCTGCAAACATATGTATGGGACACCTGAAAACACTTGAAACATATGCTTACAACATGCATGTATATGCAACATCCAGATCTACTTTTGCAACATCCAGATAAAACACTTGCAACATACGTCTTGAACAGATGAAACATTTGGAACATAGACTTGAAACATATGTGTATAGCCATTACAACATGTGTAACATCCTTATCTACTTTTGCAAAATCGATATACAACACTTGCAACGTACCTCTGAAACACTTGAAACATACTCATGCAATATGCGATTTTCACCTTTCTTTTTTTTACGACATGACACGTAGCGGGGTAATGGCCGATTCTGCATCCCTGCCACCGTCATCCTAGGATATACTTGACCATGCAGGCAAGCATATTGGGCTTTGTGTGCCTCATGGGCTTCGGTTGATACACCCTGTTGTGGCTGCCGTGACACAGGTGCTACTCATGTTGGCTTTGTGATGCTGATGTAGCTGCTTTTACTTTATACTATTATATAAGTCCTTTACTTTATAGAAGTCCCACCTGGACATCGACATCCCAACAAGAAGCATTAAGCTTAATCCTTGAGGACGTAATTACAATGTACACTAAAGCAATTTTTTAGTGTATTATTGTAACAGATACCACACTAAAAAAATTGTAGTATTGTAACAAATACACTAAAAATATCGTATATTGTAACCAATAATATTTTTTGTGTATTGAAGCCCATAATTTTTATTTAGCTGTCATGTATGTCTAGACAGTTGGATTTGATTATACAAGGGTTGGATTTGGGGATAGTACCTTTTGATTTGTGCTCAATTTTGGTCCAATTTTATTTTTGGTCTATTATTGTTGGACCTTAAGGTATGTTTTGGGATTTGTTTTCGTGTACTAGAATCATGCCCATACGTTGCAATGAAAAAAACAAAATGCTTCAAATAAGTTTATATGTGTATGTATTATATTTACCAAAACACCGATTTTTTGAGCGTGATTGTAGTTTCGACCATATGCAAGTGCCTGCCACCTGGTCGTCACGACGAAGATGAACTCGTAGTTGATCAGGCCGTCGTCGTGAACGTTAAGCCTCATGAAACGATGGCATGCGCAACAGCTGGCTAGCGGTTGAGCATAGTGTTGATGGCGTGTGTTACAACGGAAACAAAAAATAATTCCATAACAATTCAAATTTAAATCGAATGTCGCACTATTAAAACATAGTACTTTGGACGTAACGTCCATAATATAATGTTTGTAGCTAATCGTCACAATTATACGAGTCTTCATGAAACGGACAAAAAGCTACATAGTGGATGCCTTTTTGGCCATGTTCGTTTATCTTATAATCCGTCTTTTTCAACTTGTTTTTTCAGCGAGAACAATGTTTTTCTCTCACAACAAATTAGTCGGAACAGTGTTTCGGTTTGTTTTTTCAACGAAGCGACCGGAGCCTTTATGTATGAATCGAAGGCTTAGTGTGTAAACTAAATTCGGACTTCATTTAGTTTTCTCCCGCAACTAAACTCTTCTTAATCATCAATCTAACTATACATAAATATTTTTTTTATGATAATCAAGTTTAGCGGTTCCTTGGTTCCTTCAAAAGACATAATCATGAGATCATTGAATTTTTAGCATGTACGATATATCAAAAGCAATTTTGGATGTAACGTGTAGCTGTTTGTCCTTGTGACGTGCTGAAAAAATTCAGATGAAAAATGCTGAGTTGCTTTTTTTTACAACAAAGTGCTAAGTTGCTTTGCATGTGGGCTGGACCAAGAGTGGGATCGGAGCGCCGCGTGCAGACGTCCCGGGAGAGATTGCTTTGCATGTGGACCCAGGGTCTCAAGAAAAAAAAAGCGGTTCTCATGCGCTGCCGGGCCTACTTCCAAGAAAAATGGTTTCTAATTTTTTTCAGTGTGTATAATTTTTAAGAGGATATAATAAGACGCACGAAACCCACACTCCACACTCACACCACACACTAACACACCCATGCGTGTCCATAAAACACAAAGAAGGAGATAGGAAGGTTGTAGCCTCTAATGCAAAAATTCACAGTACCACCGAACGTGCACGCATGCATGCACCCTACTCTTTTTTAGAAAAATCAAAAAAAAAACGACACCAGAGTTTAACCCTGATGGATAGCGTTCCATGGACTGCACTACCATCGAACCAGAGCCCATTTCGCAAAATCAGTTTCTAGTTGCCGGGTGGAGCGACGTACGGAGATGATATGATACCCTTTCGTATTTTAGATTAAACCAGCAAGCATGTGCTCGGTGGACACTTGTACCTCGGAGGTCTCCTTTCAGTGGATGCTCAGTGCTCACGTTGGTGTGGACAGGGCACTGCTCGGTGGACGTCCAGAAGTCGGAGAACGGGTTGAATAGGTTGCTGCTGCGCACTGGTGACATTGCTTGCTTCTTACGACCGGGCCTAAAGTGATTGCTGCCCGTGTCGAACCTGAAGAGAGATTGCTCCATTGCCGTTGCGTTTTGTATAGGTCGTTGTAGTGAGGGCTACGTGGATCATGGACACTTAAACAAAGAATCTTTCTAGGAGACATTTCCAAGGCACAAGAGGACATGGCAACCAATGAATTGATGTGTCATCTACGCGATGCGGACCGAAGAATCACCGGCAGGACGCAATTGGCAATTGCATATCTCTTATTCTCTATATCTCTATATAAGGAGTATATCTTCTATCTAATCTATTTACATCTAAAAAGTACTCAAACTCCTCCGCCACGAGTTTCGAACCACTCGTTTTAGTCAACGCGTCATCCTTCTTCCATCAAATCAGATCAAGAGCAACCATTCATAAATCGTTTTGTTGTCGTTAATAGTTGGTCCCACACCCCTGCTTTGCATGCCCTATTTTTTTATTCACGGGAATCTAATGCAAAACCATTTATTAGCTTTTTAATATTTTCTAGAAATAATCAAATCAGAGTCACACACGTATTA